CATTAATTCTTTTTATTGTTGATTATATGCAAAGCTCTCTCTCTCTCTCTCTCTCTCTCTCTCTCATTACAAGTATCAATTAAGAATACAATTAACAATATTATTAGTTACAACTTAATATCATATTAATTCAATATGTGTTATTTTGCATACCTTTATTAATTATGTGTTATTCTATGCTAATTGTAATCCTAATAAATTATACAATTCTTATTTTTAGTGTCTATTGAATAGACTTTATTCAGTTAATTAGTTGACAGGCACTCAGCTATAAATTTAGACACAGGTTATCACCCGACAGTCCAAAGGCAACCATATTATTGATAAATTTTATAACATATAGAATCTATACTGTAATGTCACACTTTAGTTGACTTTCATTATGCTTGAAAACAAGTATACAATCAATTTAAGTATATATAGACTATATAAATTATCTACTTTAATAATTCAATTAAAATTATTAATTGTTACTAACAATTGTTTTTATAGAATATTTATATAATTTTTAAATTCATTTTTTTTAAAAATATTTAAAATATATTTTTAGAAATTATAATTGAGTTTTGAACAAAATATAACTTTATTTAATTTTAACCATATGAACATTTGAACATTTGACTTTTAAACCATCATGATCATTTATTATAAAAACAATTCTCATCGTCAGATGAATGATCGATACATGAACTAAATCTGGGAAATCATGTAATGGACACAATATTACTCCGAAAACATTTGCATTATGATAGTTTTAAAAAATGAATTCGGTTTTAAACCATAAAATTTTCAATCATTGAAAGTATAGTTTGTGAATAAAACAAACAAAAAAACAAAATTACTAAAATAATGTATTTATTTTCAAACCAATTCACAACAACATCTCCAGTTTTATCTTATTTTTTGCAATGAATAATAAATATTTTTTTCATTAGAAATGGGATTGAATTAATCACTTCTTATATCAAAGTCGCAAACATTTAGAAAAGAAATTTATTTGGGTTTTAAATCAAATTATATGTTTTAAGAGATCATTCATTTTGAAACACTTCTAATGAAATGAAGAAAACGCAACAAAAGAAAACTTAACCATTAATTATATTCATTATTATCTGTTTATTAAGATATTTACCATGTAATATATCCTTTATATTTATAATTAATATTAATCAACTAAATTAATATCAAGAATATATAAACAAATATTCCAAACGATAAAATATTATTTTAATTTTCCATTTATCGCTTAAATTATTGTCAGACAATCATTAACTTATTGGTTATCTAAATGTTTATCAATACATATTCAATAACAAGTACAGTATTTTGTCACTGATTTTTTATAATTAAAATTTTATTCTCTCTCATTGTTTATCATTAAATTAAATAACAATTAAATCGACAAAATAAATATATAAATGTAAATTGTGATCAATAGATGGTCAGCCTCTGACCCCTAAGAAACCATCTTTATATACAATATTGTCGCTCTTCTTGCCAGAGGCCAGTCGTGCGGACATGATTTCATCACTCGTGTCGATCGGTTCCCCTTTAAAATGTGTCCAAATATCGGGAAATGATTCCGTGAATGCCTTATATTCTTCGCCGGCATTGCGTTTGTTTTCATTAATGAATTTGTAGTCCCAAAGGGAGGGCTTATTTCGTCGACCCCTCGCCCCTACAAAACCAGGCGGCAAATTGTCGTCACTGTATTTGAGTTAACAATTAGTTAATTATTATTATTTCATTCATTTTATTAAACAATATTTAACATATTTTGATCAATCATTTAATGCTAGACTTTGTTAGTAAAATATTAATACAGTATCAATATAATTTTTGCTTTTATTTTATCAAAATTTTACTAACAAAATCGTAAATATAAAACTCAATATTTTAATTAATTATTAGTTAGAATTAATTTAGTTATTTGTCTGTATATTTGTCCAACACTAATATATTTTATTATTTTACTATTACTAAAATGACCTGAACAAAGCCTTTTGTATTTACTTTATTTCACTAAATTTTGTATTTTGATTATCAAAGGAATCATAAAATAAGTGCAATTCAAGCATTTCAATGAAATATTTGCGAGTTTACTAATATCGTTGGCTTTTATTACAAAACATAACCTAATATTCAAACCTTTTGGCTATTAATTTCGCACAGATGATTATTATTTGTCAACATTTTTTTCTCAATTTGCGTCAAACAAGTGGTTTCATTTATCATAATGTTTTTAGACAAATGTGAATTTTTGCCAATATTTATATTAACAAATGATAAATGTTATTCATTGTAAAGCTATACTAACTTACTCTGTACTGTGTACTTTCAATTCGTAGAATATTATTCTGTTTGTACAATTTGAGTTCAATATGAATTTTCTTAATTAACCTGATAAAATAAGGAACATTTATCAACAAAACTTGCCAATATATAGTATTGTTAATAAACTTTCAGGGACAATTTAAAGGTGATTTTATCCCGGATATTGAATTTACTACCACTTAAGGACAGTACATATCCAGTGTGACCAATAAGCCATTCTGAATGGTATTGTATTTAATTATCAGCAGTTTCGAGAGCTTAACCACAATAAGTTATGTGGAAAACTTACCCGCAATTTGTTAAGTCAGTAGTTTTAAAATGGTTTGAAGCTAATTGTAATTTTTCTCATTAAAGTCACAATATTTAATTACCATTTAAATTTATATTTAAATTATCAAATCGATAAATTCCTTTGATTCTTGATAGTTATAATAATGTTACATAAATTAAGTTCCTTAATCTTGATTATAATTTATAAAACATGATAAAATACATACATTTGCCTTTTGTGTGACTTAATCCAGTTCCGAAATATGGGATCATTTTTGTTTAAATATTTTAGTGGTATTTGATTCAAAATTTTTGATGATTTCAGCTTTTGTTGCCATGAATTGTGATTCTCTAAAGGCTTTTAAATCAAATTGTTTTATAAATTTCATGTTTTTATAGTTTATAAATTATATTAAACATTATTATACTCTCATTTTACGTTGTAATAAGCTAACTCTAAATAAAAATATGACTTATTAATACATAATAAGCTAATCCACAATTAATTACTCCAAAAATAACTAACTTTTAACTAAATGTTGTAAAAAGCAAATGATTTGTTGCATACAATATGTTAATTGAGGTTAAGATAATTGCAATACCTGTAACATTGACTCAATACTTATAATAATTATTAATCCGTTACAAATTATAATTACATTAAAAATAATTGATTGCTTTTTATTAAAATTACTATTTAATTATTATAATAGCATTAAATCGGGCTTGGTTTTATTAAACATTGTAAATCTTGACTTGTTTCAAAAATGATTAGTAATTTTAACAAAACTTGATAAAATATTAATTAAAAATTAATCAAAATAAACAAAAATTGTCTTATTTTGCATCAATATGTTTATAAATCAGATACTAAACTATCATAAGAAAATAAATCAGTTCAAACTAGATGTAACATATTTAGCTTTATTACATTTACTATCAAATAATTGCTTCTAATTAAAATAATTTGTTGAATAAATATGAAAAGTTCTATAACTTTTATTTCGGATAATTAATTTCAAAAGTTTGAAAAACTTTACTTATAGTCCGCTTAAAAGGTGCTAAACATTAAAAGCTTTCAAAATGATTAAATACTTACTGTTGATTGACTGAAATCATTGGTATCGTCTTTAAAGATGATATCATTGTTTAGAGCCAACGATGTCTTCGTTGACCAAATTGACGATAATATGATTACACACGACGTAAAGACAAAACTATTGCTTAAAATAAAGCTATTATTACTCGCATTCAATCTCATGTTTATAATGTATATACAACTCGGATATGAAATCTCTTCAAAGAGAAATGTAAAACTAATTTAAAACATAAGAATTGAATGAATTATTCGTGAATTTCTCAGCAAAAAACTAAACAAAATACAAACGAACGAAACGATGGATTAAATGAAAAAAGTTTTTCTTCACTTCTAGAAGAAATGTATCTATAAATAGGGCTCACAATCGAAATGATAATATCTTTGCGATTCTGTACTCAGTTTTTATACCTTTTGAGACGAGACTATTCTATAGGCAAACAAAAGCAGTGGGTTTTAGGTAAGAGATAGTTGTGTTTGGCCTACAATATAGGGATAGGTATGAACTGTCACTCGAGTTGCGTAACGGCTTCCCATCG